GGGGGGGCAGCCCAGCTTCCAGCTCCCTCTTTTGGCTTTGTGAAACGCTCGAGGCTCCCCCACCGTGCCATTCAACTGGACCGTACCCAAGAGCCTCACGCAGAAAGGGAGGAAGGAACAAGTTAACACACTAGACGACAAAGATGGCAGGGGAGACCAGCACATGCCCTTGGTCTACACGGAGCAGCAGCCCTGCCGTTAGAGCTCAGCTGCTCTGCCTTGCAAAGGTTGTTTTTGGCACCTCTCCTCCTCCCCTACTGGTTTAAGAAACATTCAGCTTACTTGGTGGCCCAGTGCTCTGCAGTTTTGCAATGATAGACTGCCACTTTACCCAAGCTGCTTCTCAGGAGCCTCTATGCTAGGCTCATACTGCTTTTTTTGCGATCAAAGGAGATAAAAAACTCTCCCCACCTGTCCACAGCCTCTCTGTTTAGGATCCAGCAGCTTTGATTCTTACCTTGGGATACAAGCCTGAAAGCACACGGTGGTTTACGGCAGGCTTGCACAGACAAAGCAGCCTTCTTCCGGCTGCCAGGAGGGCCTTGCAAGCAGGGGAGACAGTCAGAGGACTGGACTCCACCCGTGGCCACGCCGATCGCCCACAAAGCACAGTTGTGCAACAGGCAGCGCATGGGGTAAGCACGTCCCTTCCACCCCGAGGCACGGCCCAGCCCGACGGACCATCCATCTGGGTCACAGAGAATATGGCACTTTTCTGAATTTCACATGACAGGAACACTCGCTCCCCTTTCACAACTGGGGCCAAGTCTAGTTAAGGCAATTTAAAATTAACCCAGGTCTGGCATTTGTGAGCTCCTCACTTCCCTGTGTGATAATGCTGTCATCCTGGGTTAGCTTAAAGGTCCGTTTACCCCAGGAACCTGTCTCCAAGAGAAGCCAGAGGAGGATGCTCACCGAAAGAGCAGAACAGAGCCAGTTATTCTCCTCCAGCCCCCCCCCCCCCACCCAGCTTCCAGCAATAATCAGTTTGCATTTCCAAATCCCTCCAATGCACAACGGCTCACTGGCACTCGAGGGGTTTGTTCCCTCTTCCAGAACCTGGAACTAGTATTGCTCAGATGTTCCCAGACCATCAGGATGCCTCACTGTCTATGTCCTTTGCATCCTGCCTAGCAGCTCATTTGCTGACAAAATATAATGGTGTAGAGGTCCAGTAAATCTCTCCTGATGGTGCTCAGGGTCAAACTGGATCTCAGCTCGATCCACCCCCGAGAAGAGCCCATCCTCCAGGCCATTATCTGCTCTATCAAAGATTAAAAACAACCCAACACACACACACACACACACACACACACACACACACACACAAGAAATCAGTAAGAACTCAACCACGCAAACTGAGAGCATCAATCAAACCCCAAGAAGGATTTTCAGCAACCTGGCAGCCTCAGGCTGGACCTGGCATTCCAGGTATCAGCAACATCATTAAATGAGGCACGCCAGAAAAGAATGAACAGGCACAAGTTGGAAAAATACTTTACAATAGAAAAGACAAAGCAGTTGGAGAATTGGTCATAATGGGACATGTTCCTGGTCCCATCCCACAATAGTTGGGCCCATTATCTCCAAAAGGCTTTGGAATCGCTCTCTTGCATCTTACTGAGATAGTTAGTCAAGTCCAAATTAAAATATGAAAAGCACATCTGTAGCATCGGGGTGTTTTTATCTAGGCTTCCAGGATATGCTAATATTCTATGTAAGGTAATATAAAACAGCAATAAAACCTAGGTCAGCTAGTTCGAGTTCCCCATTTTCTCCCCCTGCCAGTACTGTAGCTGTAGCGAGCAGCCCAGGAATTTGTAGGGTTAGCTAGGAGAAGAAGTATTTTCTTAAAACTAACTAATAAACTGTAACAAAATGATGGGAAACATAACATAGGTTAGGCCTGCTGTAACTGATGGGCAACTCAATTCACATACAAGATGTTTCCAGGCACAAACACTCCTCTCCTTAGGTGGAAGAAAGGAGGCAGCAAGGGTAATACCAGCATTTTCTGCTGCTGCTCAAGTCCCTGTGTAAAGAGCACAGTCACCCCACTGGAAAAGCACCTCTCCTCAAACTGACCACAGCACTGCCCTTAATAGGCCAAAAAGACCTCAGAGCATTTCAGCCCCAGCTGCAGGTTCACCTGTAACCATCACCCCAATTCAGTGCCTGGTGTTCAGAGAACTCCTCCCTACCCAAACTCCCTGCTTTTGGCACTTTTTTTTAAAAAAAAAAAACAAACCTCCCAGCATGGATTGGAGAAATTAGCTAAGCCAAGTTTTGCCACTGCTCAGCACTGACCACACAGAGAGCTCCCAGCTGGGCTCAGCTCACCCAGAAGCAGCTGTTCTGCCCGGGCTTCGCACCCCTTTGTCCAAGTCCCCTTTGGCAGACTTGGAGAAGCAGTCCAGGAGATTTAAGGAAGGCAAAGGCAGCTTTTAAAAGCCACTCCTCACATTGCACCCAATGTGTGTTCTAGTCCCAGAGCTAGGAACTGCATCCCACACAGGGTAGTCTGGGAATACGGGGGAGCCAAGGGGGAAGAGAATTGTGCACGACTGCTGAAAACTGATCGTTTAACAGTGGGATGCAGCAGAGAACAGACATTTAAAGCCCATTTTCTTGCAGCACTACCAGCATTCACTGGGACAGAAGAGCCAATTAGATCTACTGTATGCTGTAGCAATGAGAAAACTAGCTGAAAATGTCCTTCATCTGAAAGGCCATGTGGCCACAACAGGATCATCCATGTTTACCTTAAAAAACCCTCAGGATGGAGGGTTTTTTTGTGCTCTCCCTGATGGCATTAAGATCCTGTAGGTTTATCTCTCTTTTAAATAAGCAACCGTTACATGCCCTCCAGCTAAAACTTAGCACCATCATCCTCAGTGTCCATGAGGAAACTTTTCGGAAAGGTAGAGCACACAGTCTTGCCAAAGCTGGAGGGGAAGGGAGAGGGGAGATATGCTGGTGCTTGTCTGAAAACCCTTGGCACACCTTTGGTTACAGGATGAAAAAGGAAGACGTGGAAGGTTTGGCCACCTGATTCTTTAAGATGTTGTTAACCCAGGAGGGAAGGGGGGGGAGGATGGGACCGTGGTTAATCCGACCAATCGTCCTCATCGAACTCTGAAGAGTCGTCCTCAGAGTCGCTGTATTCTACAGCGATGCGGCGTGACAGAATCGTTGCCACATCATTGCCCACAACGTCCCGCTTCTCCTGTTCCCGCTGCTCCTCCACCTTGCGGAGCTGGAAGCCTGTTGGGAAGAAGGTGACAGAGGGGGATCACTCAAAGGCTTTGGTCACACCAAATCTCAAAAGCAGCCCTTCAATGCAGACTTCAAGGCAGTCTTCTAAGCAAGACAGCCTGTCTTCTGCCAGCAATCGTTGGAGACACAGTGGGTTAACACTGGGGGGCGAATGACAGCCAGAACAGGCAGGGGGACAGGTGGAACAGGAAGCGAGCAGTTTCCGTGCTCTTCCGAGGGTTTACACCACAGCCATTCAGCCCACTTGTAAACCTGGACCGCCCCAACTCTGGAACTACCTTCTCCAAAGACAGAGGGAAAGTTGTCAACAGGTGGGCAGACAAGGAGAGCCCACAAGGGATAGGTCCCAAGCAGCAGGGAAGTGAGAGCACTGCCTGTAATACAGCTCCCAAGTGCTCTTGCGCAGGGTACTGTGGGGTCTTCCCAGAGGCAAAGGAAAAAAACGGTACTGAAACAAAGCTAACTTACCTTGACGAATAGCTGACAGCAAATCACTCCTGGCATCACTAACTGCAGGCAGGGACGACTTGGGCTTGGAGGTGGAGGTATCTGAGGGTAGAGGAGGGGCTGGGGGGCCATCCAAG